CCAACGGTGGCTTGACCTCAATCCGTCCAATGAGATTCCCGCTTTAGTAGACCGACCTCATTTAGTAGGTTGGCCTCAATCCATGGGACAAAGACAACAATGCAGTGTCTGCCTTCAAGCCTCACTCCAGATCCGACGCGACTAGGGAACGGTTGCACTAGTCCGCGAGTCAAAACTATTTCCATGTATTCTCCTATCCTTCTGCAGAATACACTATTCCTAACAATCTGGTTTTCCCATCGTCTTCTTTCTCCCATCTCCTAAGGAACCAGACCTGGAAGATTGTAGCCGTCAGGGTTAACCGTGTTAGCCTTAATAGCTATAAGAGTTCAAAAGCGCGTCAGATGGCCCGTCTACGTGGGCTACACGTATGCCGTGGTCCCCAGGATACAATAGGGGTGGTCCGTATCTCCGAGGTGAGGGAGCGTCAGAAAGGCTAGACTAGATGGAAATAAATGCAGCCGGAATCTCATTCATGAGAAGGCCGGAGTTATCCAGTCAGTTGGCACACCTCCAATCCTCATGACCTAGCTTTTCACGATATCGTCAAGCGAGTCAGGTTCATTATAGTTAGTACTGAACGTCGCTTTCGCTGCCTCTTTCCTCTACATGCCAGTCGACTACCCGAGCCCTCTGCCTCTCTTGTGTATTAAATGGGCCCTGTATTGGTCGAACACACCTGTAACTCAGCGCTTTTGGGCAGGGGCTGTTCACTTAATTTCTAGGTATATAATATATCGAATGAGTCGAATCTTGAATTTTTTTCTGTTCTGATTGCCTTAGGTTAATCATTTCAGAATAGGAATTCAAACTGGATAATTATGTGTCCCCTGTTGTCCCTCGACAGTAAGAAATCGAGCTCAATTCAATAGTTAGTTGTATAACCAATACTACTTACAGTTTGCGAGTAACAATATTTTAAGCGTGCGTGTACAAATGTATATGACACACCGGCATGCAAACCATAGGGTCTTCAAAAGCATTACCTATTACTCTCATCAACTAAACTGAACAATATATATATTTCCTCCCCCCAGGTCTATGATGCTAAAGTGACGGAGCTGCGTGAAATTACCGATCGGATGGACAGCGGCGTGCGAAAGTTGGTTGAAGCCAAGGAAGCCATAAATGTTCTCCAGGTGGATCTGGTAAAGAAGGAGGACGAACTCATAGTGGCCAATCAGATGGCCGAGGAGGTGCTTTCCAAAGTGCTCAAAGAGACCCAGGCTGCGGAAGGCGTCAAGAATAAGGTGGAGTTGCAGAAACAGCGTTGCGAGAAGATTGTGGCCAGTATCAGTGCCGATCGAAAGGTAGCAGAAGCCCAACTAGAGGCTGCAAGGCCGGCTCTGTTGGAAGCCGAGGAAGCCCTGAATACCATTAAGCCAGCCGATATCTCCACTGTGCGAAAGTTGGCCAAACCACCGAATCTGATTATGCGCATCATGGACTGCGTGAACATCCTCTTCTATCATCGCCTTGAAACAGTTCGTCCAGATCCCGAGAAGGAGAGCATTATGACCTCCTGGAAGGAGTCCATCCGCTACATGTCCCAACCCAACTTCCTGGCAAATCTGCTCGACTTTCCAAAGTACATCCTCACGGAGGAGATGATGGACCTGCTGGAACACTACATGTCTGCCCCGGATTACAACATTGCCAGCGCAAAAAAGACCTGCGGCAATGTGGCCGGTCTCCTCTCCTGGACCACTGCGATGGTGAAGTTCTTCTGGGTGAACACAGTGATTGTGCCGCTGCAGGACAACCTGACAAAGGCCGGCCAGCGTCTCAATAGGGCAATGAAGGAGTTACAGACTGCGGAGAGCATTCTGGCCGAAAAAACTGCTATCCTGAAACGCGTTCAGGCCGACTTTGATGACGCCATGATGAAAAAGCAGAAGCTGCAAGATGAGGCTGACCTCTGTCGCCGGCGGATGACTACGGCAAATATGCTCATTGAAGGTCTGGCTGGTGAGATGGTTCGATGGTCAGAACAAAGCATTACCTACAAGCAGCTAATTGTTATGCTAACGGGTGATGCGATTGGCCTGGCTGCCTTCCTAACTTACGCGGGCGGGTTCAATCAGATCTTCCGACAGAACTTGGCTGTGGCGACGCAGAAGGCGCTGAAGAACCATGGCGTGCCGCACAGCGCTCACTTGGATGTGGTGAATTTGCTAGCTAATGCAACGACGGTGAGCCGCGGGACCTGAGTTTCCTAATTTTCGAAGTATCTTTTATTTTGATAACAGTTTATTATAGGGCGCACCACGGAAACCAAACCCCCAGAATGATATGGTACAGGAGCGGTTGTAAAAGGGGTTATACGGATGGGGCAAAACGGGGGGAGGGGGGCGCGCAGGAAATAAAATAAAGCAAACATAGCAAACAAAACGGGAAATAGTAGATAAAATTATTAGAAAAGGCATTAACCAGGATGGTTACAGCCTGAAACAGATCGGCGTATAATTACCCACTAACATATATGCTCCCGATCACAAACCGACAAGACAGCGGACTCGTAGCTCAATGATTAGGGCGTTTGGCTCTTACCGGAGAGACGTGAGTTCGAAATTCGAGTGTGTCGGCAATTTCCGCTGCTACACTGGAGTTGGGTATCCCCAGCTGACGACGGCAAATAAGCCAAATAAAGGCGTTCCTGGGAGTCCCTCTGTCTTTGTCGGTAAAACATAACATAGAAATATGTTACTAAAAGGCTAATATATAGCGACAACAAAACATGCGATAATCAAAGCATAAGTAAAAATAAAGATAAATGCGTCTGAAACCCGCTTGTCGCCTGAAATACTGCGTCACTTGCTGTTCATCTGTACCAAAAATGTTCAGTTTCTATTTAATGGACAACTCTATAGACATATGGACGGAGTCGCAATGGGAAGTCCACTAGGGCGGATGTTTTTATGGACAATCTAGATGAAAAGGCGTCATCAAGAATTAATAAAACAAGATTAAATAAAAGATATGTGGACGATATGTTCACGATATGTTCACGATTGTTAATTCTAAGGAAGACGCCGATGCCCTCCTCAATTTTATGCATACCATCCATCCGAAAATTAAATTCACAATGGAACCAGAGCAGTGCAACAAGCTATCGTTTCCAAACGTCCTCATGTTTAGAGAGGATGGTGGTTCCATAGGGCGCCCGTTTTCCGCAAAAATACGTGGAAAGGGCAATACCTATATCTTATGAGTTTTATACCAATTCAGTGGAAACGAACTCTGGCACATACTCTCTTTCAAGGAGCAAAGAATACTGGATCTAGTGAGGCTCTGCCTGCAGAGCTTTCCCGCATCAAAAAAGCTCTACTTAACTGTACCTATCCTGCATACTTTATTCAGAAGTACAGCAATTCTCTACAGCCAAAATAGACGAAACAGTCAATTTCAAAAAAGCCCGTCATTATATCCTTACCCTTTAAGGGTGATGACGTTTCGAATACAATCAAGCGACGGTTGCGCTGTACTATAGAAAGGACGTACAACGCAGAAAAACTCGTCTTCTTAAGTTCTTCTAAAAGAATTCCAGTAAAACAAGCAAAGGATGCCTTGCCGTTGCACGTCACTTCAAATTATGTGTATGAATTCACATGTGCTTGCGGATGTAAGTACACTGGGCGTACGCAAAGGCAAGTGGCAGCCAGGGCCAAGGAACACTTGCCCAACTGGCTTTTCAAGCAAGAAGTTAGGGTTCCACGGTCCTCTATTACTAAACATCTATAAGACAGCGGTCATTCTG